GTACTATCAGACATGCCAATTGCCTCACATTAATCACGGAGAAAACACTTTGCCCATTAAATTATAGCTCTCTCATATAATCCCTACAGTGTAGACAATTGAACTCATTGGGTCTGCACTGACCCTTTGAAAAGCATCCCACCCTTTCCCCAAAACCCTGCATTTCCCACAGCTAATCTATCCAGCCGGCACATCCCTGGACATTATGGCATGGCCAATCCACTTAACCTGCACCTCTCTGGGCTGTGGGAGGAGACTGGAGTGCCCAGAGGAAGCCCACACAGATGTGGGGAGTATGTACAAACTCCACACAGACGGTCGCCCAAGGCTGGAATCGAACCCAAGTCCCTGAGGCTGAAAGGCAGCAGTGCTAACCACTAAGCCACCATGTCACTCTCAGGGACACTCTGGAATGGCCGCATTTCGCTATGTACCCTGGCTGAAAAGTCAAAGGTGAGGCAAACAGTGCAAGTTGGAAACTGCTGGGGATAAGATGGGTGGCCTGAGGTTGGGGGGAAGTACACAGACCAACAAATAGTACAAGTTAAGCAATGGCAGTGATTCTTCAAGTAGGGTGGGAGTTTGGAGAAAGATTTTGTGGCTTCAGGCAGCTGCCCATGTCTTGTGAAAGAGAAAGCTCCCACAATCACTCTGGCCTACCAGCACCAATCCAGCCACAAGCAGAAAGCTCCCCAGATCCTCTAGCATGAGCTACACTTCTCAGGTGAGGGATATGAGGTGTACAACTATGGTCAAAGTGTATCTCTACTGTGTCTGACTACTTCAGCACAGATTCCATCTGCTCTGGAGTTAAACAGCAACAGTTAAAAAAATACAGGGTGGGGGTGCAGAGTGTTAAACAGAAGCAATAGGGGGTAGAGAGTTAAGGAGGGGCAAATAGAGCTTTAGAGGGCAAATAGTTTAACAGGGACAGTTAAAGGCATGTTCAATTTTGTTCTGGACCAAGGTGGACGAGAAAATGGAGTTAAGGACATTTGTATCAGACAGAGGTCTTGGAGGCAAAATTCCAAATCCCAGGAGGTCAAACAAGGCTGTGTCATTGCCAGCACTTTCTTTCCTATACTCCGCGCTGTCGTCCTGTATCTCACCTCCAGCAAATTACCATGGGCATGGGGGTCTTCAGCCTACTCCACCTTCAATCCAAGACCACTTTGAGCTCAGTTTTGGAATTTCAGTAGGATGACACTTACACATGTGCACACGTTAGCTCCTTTGCCGAAATAGGTGAGTAAATGGAAGCACTCCGAAAACCAAGCTCCTCATCCAACCAGATCCCGGAGTAAAACACTTTCTTCACCTAGCCCACCCCCTTTTAAGATAAATGGCAAAAGTTCCTGAAAATGTGGGCCATTTTCCCTCATTAGAGTCATGGGGTCATAGAGCTGTACTTGTTTGCACTGAACAGATATCCTAAATTAATCTAGTCCCATTTGCCAGCATTTGGCCCATATCTCTCTGAACCTTTCCTATTCATGTACCCACCCAGATGCCTTTAAAATGCTGTAATTGTACCAGCCTTTACCATTTCCGCTGGCAGCTCATTCCACACACGCACCACCCTTTGTGTGAAAAATTGCCCTTTAGGTCCCTTTTAAATCTTTGCCCTCACATCTTAAACCTATGCCCTCTAGATTTGGACTCCCCTACCCTGGGAAAAAGACCCTATCCATACCCCTTATCGTTTAGTAAACCTCTATAAGGTCACCCCTCAGCTTCCGATGCTCCAGGGAAAATGGCCCCAGGCTATTCAGCCTCTACCTATACCTCAAACCCTCCAAACCCAGTAACATTCTTGCAAATCTTTATTGAACCCTTTCAAGTTTAACAACATCTTTTCTACAGCAGCAAGGCCAGCGCTGAATGCAGTATTCCAAAAGTGGCCTAATCAATGTCCTGTACAGCTGCAACATGACCTCCCAACTCCGATACTCAATGCACTGACCCTCTCAGTTACGGTAGACATAGCTGACAAAATTCACACCCGCTTCTAGTGCGTCAGCTCAGCATTTGGGAAACAGGATTCCGAGATCCGAGACTAAAATCATGACTTTTCCAGGAAGCTGGGAGCCCTGAACTTCAACAAGGTGTGGGTAAAGGTTGAGAAAATATAGGCAATGTCGCCATCTATTGGAGTCTGTATATATTACAGATGGAGCTGAAATGCGTATTTTTCTTAAAATGCTAATTGAATGGCTGAACAAAGTATATGAATGGTTGGATGAGAGACCATCTGTTTGTTGACAATCTTTTTTAAAAGCCAAGTGTTATAAAACCTTATTGGTAGCTTTGTTACATTGTTCCAGAGGATTATATCAGGAGGAGCTTTTAAAACTAAGAAAGGATGTGCCTTAAACAGGATTCTTTCTGCTAATGAAATTGCCCTTGGCAGCGGTGACTTCAAGGCCTTAAATGGAAATGCTGCCTGGGAGAAGAGACGTAAAGCTCCTCCAACATCACTTGACAATTTATCGGTGGTCCATGTCATCTGCACTGGCTAAGGCACACAGGCAAATGAAGGAAAGCTTCCTCACGAGTTTCCCAGCACTGTTACCTCCGTGCTCCCCCCAACACGTGTAGCAGCTCCTGGCAATTCCAACAAGGCCATGTAAATAATGGTGGCACAAAGTGGGAATGCAGTGCTCGAAACAGCTCCTCCCCGTATCATTACGAATTAAGCCAGTCTGATGAGGAAACGAGAGAAATCTCATGGTGCCCCTGGCTGGAACCAAACCAGAAAATTTAATTAAACGAACTATACGACGTTGAAAAACCTGAATCGCAGAGATAGCCAGGAGTGAGAGGTGTTGGCTCTTGGGAAAGTAGGTTGGGAAACGTTTCCCCCGAAACAATGGGGCATTGCGTATCAGCGAGAGAGACCAGCAGCTGGCTCTCTTGACAACCGCCCGCACTTCCTCTGTGGTCGGCGGCCTACAGCAGATTTAACCCCAGTCTCATCCGGGCCTATGATTAATGCCTGGATTCCTACTCCGTCACCACTGTAGCCAAAGTTGTCTCGAAACAAATACCTGAAAGCTCTGCTGTACTGAACCGTGACCACACACAGGCCTGGGGCTCCTACGTCACTCACTGTTTAGCATTTCTTCCGTATTTTGGAAACCTCCCAGCTAAAAGGATTAACGTGGACTGGTTTTGACACAGGAGGACGAGCTTAACGCGGCGTTATAGGTGGAAGTAATTAGCCAACACTTTCAGGTTTGTCTCCCTAAACCGCTTCCATCGTCCAAATTACATTAACCAGAGCATGGCATAAGACAGAAAAAAAAAGTGGGGCAGGTCATCGGTGAGAGGAAACATTTCAATGTTGCACTGATTCAAAGAATTCCTTAGTCATTCCCAATACTCCTTTTGTCCTCTTCCCACAAGGTGTTCACCCAACTGGTTGAGTAAATTGGATGAAAATCCTTGAACCGTAAACTGAGTGCTAAAGGCAGAACTTCAGGCTGTTTGAATAGAACCCCGGAGCCAGTTTTCCAGCCTTCAATTTGAGTTTTTTTTCTGACATTGCCCACACTGTAGCTGTAGATGGTTAGTTGTCAGTGTTGAGTTAAAGGAAATCTGCTTCTTTCTTTTAAATATTGATAATGTCTTCTGTATGCTGTGAGGTGGAGGAGTGGCATTGGATAAAGTCAGCAAAACCCAAATACCCTTGGTCTATTACGAAACACCTCTGGTTTTACAACCCAGATTTCCTCAGTTCTTACAAGTGGCAAGGCTGATCTTGAAAAGCAAACTTCAAACTGCAATCTCTGCGCTTCACCTGTAGACTATATTTCATCATTTGCCAGATCTCAGATTTATATTTCATCATTTGCCAGATCTCAGATTTGATACAGCTAATCAAACACAGACAGACACTTAGATTTAGAATCAATTGGCAACACGTAAAATTAAAATGTGTGAGATACTCGGGGCTCAGCTTTCAACCAAATGCAGAACGTTCCTCCTTTTAACTTCCTGCTTAATTGCCCGCTTTTATAAAAAATTCATTCATGGGATGCCAATGTTGAGGGGTAGGTCAGCATTTATTGCCCATTCCTAATTGTCCAGACAACCGCATTGCTGTGGGTTAGAATTCATCAAGGACATCATCGAACCAAATGGGATTTTATGACAATCAAGAATAGCGAAAGGCATTCAATATCCTTCTGTGAGTGTGGTTGACTCTTAAATGCCCTCTGGCCAATTAGGGATAGGCCTTAAGTGCTGTCCAGCGACACATTGGCTCAGTGGTTAGCACTGCTGCCTCACAGCGCCAGGGATCCGGGTTCGATTCCACCCTCGGGTGACTGCCTGTGTGGAGTTTGCACATTCTCCCCATGTCTGTGTGGGTTTCCTCCGGGTGCTCCGGTTTCCTCCCACCGTCTAAAGATGTGGGGGTTAGGTGGGTTGGCCATGCTAAATCGCCCATAATGGCTAGAGATATATTAGGTGGATTAGCCATAGGAAATGCAGGGTTACAGGGATAGTGAGGGGGGCTAGGTCTGGATGGGATGCTGTTCAGACAGTTGGTATGGACTTGATGAACCAAATGGCTTGCTTTCACACCGTGGGGAATCTACGGGTTCCATGTTCCATGAACAGATCAGAAGAGAAAGCAGTCAATTAAGCAAGATGTTAAATCGGAGAACAATCAGACAGAAAGAATAGTCAGTCAGCCTGGTTTGCATTTTATTAGATCTTCAGGACTGCACTAGAAACATATGCACAACACATCACCAGAGGAAAAGCAGGGAGCTTGGGTGTTCAATTTCAACACTTGGATGGGTGAAGCTTTTCATCATAATCGACACATTTTATCAACTTCAATTTAAATCTTTCAGATTACAGATTCAGTAGTTCCCATATTCGTCTCTTATGACAGTAAAGACAACTCAACGGCAGCAAACATTCTGAAAGATTCCACAGCACTCGCAGAGACACAACAATGTTTTCAAAGTTAAGACCATTCGTTTACATACCATCCAAACAAGAGCTCTATTGGCAAAGTAATGGTACTGCTCAATTGTCGACATGACACTGAAGATGAGGCAAACCAAAACGATAAGAAATCTGGAAGATGAAAGCAAATAATTAGCTATGTTGAAAAAGAAAAAAACATAACTTTTAAATCATCACATTATACCATTGGTTTGGACCCAACACAATCCCAAAACTTGGAGGAGGAGAAAAAGTACATGATTCTTCCCCCCACCTACTAATAATATAATCATAATATAATGGGAAAATAAAATATAATTGCACCCTCTTTCCAACCTGCTAATGTGAAGTCACAATAGATCCAAAATCTTTTGATTCAGGAATACCAACACTGAGGAAGTTGGATTGTTGACGATATTATAAAGAAAATAGCGGCTCAAAGTGTTAGCTCACAGTGTGACACATCACTGCTTAAAACTGATCCCTTCTCAGAATTTTTTCAATTATTTTCAAAATGCAAATTCTTAGAAAGAATATTGTCCCTTTTCTTCTCCCCCTTTTCCCAGCAGGGACCTTGCTCTTGTACCCTGCTTCCAGCTGCAGGTTAAATTCCCCTCACGCAGACATTTATTCACATGTAGATATAAAGATGTAAAAGCGAAATCTGCCCAAATTTCACCTAATTTGAAAACATGCTGTACTGCCCAGAAGCCTGGACACACTCTTTCCTGTCAAGAACCTCATGAATTATAACTGGATAACCGATAAACTTCACCTCCCCACAACTATGAGAAAGGTGCTCTTGCTATTCATCTGGCTGTTTGATTGAATCGTCAGGAGGTCCTTTGGATATGACACATTGCCAAAAAGGTTGTCAATCCTCCTGTCTTTCAGAACAAGGAGCTGACCTTGCCCGAGTGTTGCAGACTGGTACTCTCCAAGGTCTAGGTCCATGTGCTGAGGGACGCACTAAAGCTTTGGGCAGCAGTGGGGAAAGACCACTGTCTGAGATCTTCCTGCTGAAGGTAAATGAGGGTCTGCTCAGCTATCAGAAGCTCCTAATGCCTCAAATGCATGTAAATATAGTCTTGTATGTGTGAGAGATGTCTTTGATTTGGATAGAGTCAAATTCCAAAGTCTGTTTATTTCTATAATATGCTACTGTACAGAACCAAACTACCTTTGTGACTATGCATATACACAAAGACATTTTTTGTGAACAAAGCATATTTTTGAGATTTAAGAAAAGATGTCAATCCTCCTGAGGTGAGTAAAAGCTTTGTCAAAGGACTATGGCTTCAAGAGAGGTATGGGTGGAGGCGTTTAGAGAGGGAATTCCAGACTTTAGCATCAAGATAATTTAAAGCATAGATGACCATTGTGGGGCAAAGAATTGAGAGAATGACAAGAACCAGAAAGCAGAATTCATGAAGCATCGTAGGGCTGGAGGTGGCAACCAAGAAACTAAGGGAAGGAATTTGAATAAGACAATGAGAATGTAGGAATTTGAATAAGACAATGGGAATTCTAACATTGAAGGACTGGTGAAAAGGAAGTCAATGCGAGCCAGTGAGCACAGGGACGCAGTGGGATTTAATACAAAACAGGATACAAGGAGGGTTTAGAATGAGTTGGAGTTTATGCAGCACTAAATATAGGAGGCTGTGGGAAATCTCTGATTCATCCCAGGATGTACTACAGGAGAAAAGCAACTCAAAAATATTTCTACAACGGCAGCAACAACCAGCATCAGCTGTTTGAGACAGCTGCCTCTTAAGTGACACAAGAACCAGGTCTTGGCCTTAGTGTAAGGAGTGTGGGTTTTTATGTTATGGGAAGTGTCAGGATGAAAAGAGCCGTAACATACCCAATCACTTTTCAGTGTGATAGAGAAAACTCTCATAGTCACAAGATTTAAAGTATCCAACTGACTGGGATCTTGACCTGAACACAAGTTAAATAATATCACCATCAATATCTCTGAAAAAAATTCTCACACATGGAGTGAGACAGAGCAATGAATTCAAAGCCAGTGGGGGTAGCAAGAAGATTTAATATCAGGTCTGGTTTTCTAAAAAAAAAGAAAATGGGTGAAGGCACATTAGGTTCAACGCTAAAATTGGAGACAGTAATTGAGTAGACAAGATGAACCAGAAAGTCATTTGTAAATTACAAAAGGATTGGAAGGAAGACAAGGAGTTCCAGTTTCTGGATTCTGGGAAATAAGGATTCAAAGTAGGACATTGTGTTGAAACCAGGTTCTTTGCACAATGAAGATGTGAGGTGGAGGAATAACATCTAGTGTGAGGTCTAGTGTACAATTACTGAAAATGTCCATCAGCTTCATGCTCTGCTTCACTGTCTGGACAGAACAACCTGAAACCGCTGTCCAGGAAGGACAGGCAAAGCAGGAAGTAAGAGATGGCGCCTTCAGAATTTGCAACCCTTTTGTGGAGTTTTATTGACAAATTTTCACTACAAGGTGCATTACACGCTAATTATTACAAAAATGACAGCTGGGAAATGAATGCTGCTGAGGAAATTGAGCGTGAACTTGAGAGTTCAGTGTGTTGGGGAGATTGGTGAAAGGAGAATGGAGGTAGTGTGTGTGTTTCCTTCTGCTTTTCTACCCTTCCTGCCCTGTGGGAACCGGTTCTGGGTCTGCCACAGGGAAATCAGTTAGCTGTTTGGTGAGTAGCTGTTAAGTGGTTAAGGTCTACACTATTCTTAAGATTACAAATAGTACACAAATTGGTGGTATACTTTGTAAAAGATACAAAAATGACATGTGAATAATATAATTTAGAGTCATGGAGTTATACAGCATGGAAACAGACCCCTTGGTCCAACTTGTCCATCCTGAACTGATATCCTAAACTGATCTAGTCCCATTTGCCAGCATTTGGCCCACATCTCTCTAAACCCTTCCTACTCATGTATGCATCCAGATGCCTTTTAAGTATTGTAATTGTAACCACCTCCACCACTTCCTCTGGCAGTTCGTTCCTTACAAACACCAGCCTCTGCAGGAAAAGGTTGCCCCTCAGGTCCCTTTTAAATTTTTCCCCTTTCACCTTAAACCTATGCCCTCTAGTTTTGGACTCCCCTACCCTGGGGAAAAGACCTTGGCTGTTCACCCTATCTGTGCCCCTCATCATTTTATAAACCTCTATAAGGTCACCCCTCAGCCTCCGACGCACCAGGGAATAAAAGCCTGATCTGTATAGTAACTTCATATAACTGCCTTTGGTCTGCAGCTCTTAATAAATCTTCACATAAAATCAATCTAAGCGACTTCTGAAATTTTCAGTTGACCTTCAGCTCAGCTGTTTTATGGGTTTGCAGCCAAGCGGGGTGGCTATTCTTTAATAACTATTTGAAGCTTATTAAGGATGGTGGGACAGTTGATGTGTCAAGGCTGCAGCATGTTGGAGCTCCTGGATACCATTGCGATGTAGGGCAAGCATGTCCACACTGCTCACTGCTTGAGGAGCTTCATCTCAGAGTTATTGAGCTGGAGGCTGAACGACAGGCACCGTAACACAGCAGAGAAGGGAAAAGTTACCCGGATGTTTGTACCAGGAGGCAGGCACACCTCTTAGACTACGTCTTTTGATTCGGTCAGTGGTCAGGCATAGGAGCAGTGACTAGGAATAGGGCAAGTAAGGGGACTCGGTAGGGTGGAGTAGCACAGGGTTGACAGCACATGCAATTGGTCAGTTGGTTTGGAGTTCTCTCAGCTTGTTTGCGTGAGAATGGAGGGTGGATGAACAAAGTGACCATGGCACTGTGGGGCAAGAAATCGTTCAAGTGGGAGGTGTAGTGATAGTTGGGGACTGAATAAACATAGGATTGACACCATTCTTTCAGCAAGAAGTTGTGAGTCGAGGTGGCTGTTTGCCTTTCCTGTGCCAGGGTTTGGGACACCGGCTCAGGGCTGGAGAGGAACTTACAGTACAAGGGGTAGGATCCCATTGTCATCGTCTGTCTAGGTATCAATGGTAGAATTAGGAAAGTGTTTCTGCATGAAGAGCGTGAGAAGCTCATTGCAAAAAAAAAAGCAGAAACTCAAAATAATCTCTGGATTATTACCAGAGAAGCACATCAATTGGCATTGGGTCCATAACATTACAGAAATGAATATGTGGCTCAGAGTTGGATGTGAGAGAAGTGTGTTCCTGCTTGTGGACACCTGGTACCTGTACAGGGGAAAAGGGGAGCAATATTATAGGGATGGTCGACACCTGAACAGTGCTGCAGCCAACGTTCTTGCAAACTGCATACTTAGCAAGTAAATAAGGCTTTAAACAAAATAGAGGGGCAAGGGATCAAATGGGGAAAGATGTGGTCTATTGAGGAGTAGACAGAAGATAAGAGTAAAAAAACTGAAATATGGGAAATGAGGGTCAAAGAGTGGCAGGAAGGAACATGGAGAAAACAATTCTAAGAATGGACCAACATTCAAGACCAAACTTAACAAAAGGACAAAATTTAAAGACTCTGCATCTAAATGCATACAGCATTCATAACAAAGTAAACAAATTGACAGCTGACATAAAAGCAGTAAGTGCTGGAGAAACTCATGTCTGGCAGCATCTCTAGAGAGAGGCAGAGTTAACATTTCAGATCTGATTTGACTGTTCTTTGAATCGTCACATCAGACTCAGAATATTAACTCTGCCTTTTCTCTTCATAGATGCCATCAGGCCTGCCGAATTTCTCCAGTACTTTCTGTTTTCATTTGAGATTTCCAGCGCCCACAATATTTTGCTTGTAATTGATATCTCACATTGAAGTAAATAAATATCATCATATAGCCATTATGAAGACAAGGGTGCATGATGACAAAGAGTGGATCCTGAATATTGAAGAGTATATGACTTTCATGAAGAATAGGAAGCCATGCAAAGGTGGGGAGGTAGCACTGTTAATCAAAGACGGTATTTGTGCAATAGTTAGAGATGACCTTGGTTCAAAAGATCAGGATGTAGAATCAATATGGATGGAGATGATGCCCAGTAGGGAAAGAAATAATAAGTGGGAGTGGTTTACAGGTCCACCCAATAGTAACTAAATTTAGGACAAATGAATACAAGAAGAAATATTGGGTGCATATGATAAAGGAAGAGTAA